TGATGGCGATAGGCCGGTAGTTGAACGGGTCTGAGCGGGTCGCCTTTTTTAGAGATCGGGTGGACGAAAGCCGTCTTCCATGATTTTGGGACTACGCCTAGGGAGTCGGAGTACCGGAAAAGACGCGTTAAAACCGGCGCCAACTGTGGAGCACACGTCCTCAGCATAATTGGAGGGATTCCGTTACGCCCACTCGACTTGTGGATGTCCAGGGAGAGGAGTGCTTTGCGAACCGAGTGCTGTGTGAGCGTGTCGTGGGAGCATTCACATCGCGGGATGGTCGGCGGCGTACTCCCCCCGTCATCGAGAGTCGAGTTGGACGCAAAGAAAGAGCCTAGAAGATCGGCTTTCTCCTTTGCGGTATGGGCCAGTGAGTCGTCCTCCCTGTGCAGAGATGGAAGAGATGGCTGACAGGAATTCCCCTGGACAGCCTTGGCGAGAGACCAGAATGCACGGGTTACAGAAGGAAGGCGAACTAGTTTCTCGCCAATTCTGCCTATGTGCTCTGACTGCCTTGGCAACGACTCTTTTGAAGGACCTAGAGGCGGAATTATACTTCTTTTTTAGAGCGCTGGTGTTTACATCCCGGGACGCTGATGCGTCAGCCCAGGCTTGGTAGCACTCCTGCTTATAGCATGATGCTATTTTACAGGAGCGACCAAACCATGGCTGAGATTTGCCTCCAATGGGCACCACAGAGGAAGGAGTTGACGCAACTAATACCGAAATGCCATAAACTACAAAGAAAATCAGTCCGGTTTTGCTAATTTGTGCGTTTTGACGAGTTCTGAGTTTCCTTCATAATTATTGTTGATTTTTTTTTGTTAATATTTTTGTATAAAATATTAAAAGAGTTCTGAGTTTTCTTCATAATTATTGTTGATTTTGTTTGTTAATATTTTTGTATAAAATATTAAAATGCCATTGATACATGAGCAAAAATTTTTAAAAATTTGTCTGTTTGTCTGGGCTAATATTCGAAATGACCGAACTGATTGTAAAAAAAATCACGAACAAATAGAGAATAATACCGGGCGGGATCTAAACGAAATTTTATACGAAAAATTTAGAGATTTTCTTAAAATAGAAATATTAATAAGATAAATTAAATGGTCTACTGAATTTTTAGTTAAACATTTTTATGCACTGATTATTTATCAAATTAGTTATACTAATTCCGGAAGAATGTTGTGGTCACAGTACAAATCCACGAACGCAAAGACTTTAAAGTGCTTGAAATAAAGTTCATTTTTCTTTATTTTTATTGAATGACAGAATTAGTAATAATACAAATAAAACTGCACTCTAAAAACTCTTATTGCCTTAAGTTACGGTCCATTTCAGTTTGTTTTGACTGTACAGATTTAGTGTGACTGTAATTTACGTAGTTTTAATTATTTTTGGGATATAAAATTACCTATATTAAAAATGATAGGAATCGATTCAGTAAACGATTCTGTACAAACTACTTTCTCAAAGTGCGTTAATTATGTTACGTGTTGTATTGTAGTATAAAAAGATATTAAATATATTTAAATTGTAATGCAGTGCATCCAAAAACATATACACTCACGCCTGTTATCCGGAAGGGTAGGCAGAGACAATGGACTTTTTTTGGCACGATCCTGACACACCTCTCTCGCCATCCTCCTTCTCCATATACCTACCTACGCCTCCTTTACATCCATATATCTACGCATACACGCTCGCGATACGGGATTGCTACTCGCAAGCGTTCGTAGGCTTTGACCACCTGGCCCTAGGCCCACCTTTTTTTTTACATTGGGAAATGCCTACGCATACCCGCCTCGTGGGGGCAAGGACGGGTTATGTCGGACTCGCACCGACTAAAACCCCATGGTGTTCCACCTTCGCCGCATATTGGCAGGGCCACGGGTACGCTTTCGCACACACCCGCGGCTCCACCAGCACCGGCCGCCCCATGGCGGCACCAACTCGGGAGAGAACTACTCCTCCCCATTCTCCTTTCCAGGTAAGGTACACCAGAACACATGGCGCACCTTCCTTCACGGCCTCCAACTAAACCTGCGCAACATAAGCCCCCGTGTCCGATACGCGAAGGCTATGGGGCCAGGAAAAACGAGCACTCAGAAGCACTTGCCTTCCCGATCCCAGCGGCGGATCTGGTCTATGGCTCCGCCGCCAACCAAGATTCGGCTGCGGAGGAAAGGGAGAGCGGCGCCGTACCGACACTCCCCCAGGCAGCCCCACCACCACCGAATAAACGGGTCGGCCCCGTGGTGAAGATAGGGGAGTGGGCATCATACTACACACCTCTTCCTCCGCGACTCCACCTCGGCTGCAGCGGTAGGGGAGAGGACACCCCTCTCGCCGCAGCCCACCAGCACACATCTGAAGTGGGCTCGCCAAGCCCACTCGGAGTGACCACCTCGGGCCGGCTCTTCACCTCGGGCTAGCCATGTGGGTTCTTTTTTGTTCCCCGCGGGTGACAAAGCCATGGCTACTAACACCACCCGCCACGACAAGGCGGGAACCCGTTTGGGGGGAGCCCTAGGCCCACATATTCTCAGTAGCATCCTGGATTAAGGAAATTGGCAATGTTTCACCCCCGTGCCTCGTAAAAGCACGTAAAGCCGTTGGTCCTGCACCTGATCTCTCACCGGTCGTGTCGGTTTACCGTCCCATCTGACTATTGGAGGGAGTAGAGAATGCACCTGTGCTTGCGCATACACTTAGCACTATAATACTGTCCTGCGCAGATGGCTGGTCTGCGTTAGACTGGCCGCCGTGATTCTGCTATACATTCACAAATTAGATACGTATACATAAGCAATCTGATTTATCGAGTAAAAAAAAGAAATAACAATTAAAAATAATTTATTGTAAATATTTACAGTTTTTAATTGATTTTCTGTCACACTCTGAGTCACAGCTTATGAGTCAATTATTTTTTTATGTACAAATTTTAAGATACTAATAGTTAATGATTTCTTATATTTACGTGAACACTATACATTGATTAAAACTACTTTTTACGGATTTTATCGCGTTTTATTTATATTAATTTTAATACCCGGCGTTTCGGGCGCTTTCCAGCACCCATGGTCACGGGGTACTGAGGTGACTGACGTCCCGATGTCAAAGTTAACCTGGAGTACCTTCAGCTTTTTAATTATTGTCTTTGGTCCGATCTACGCAGAATGAACTAACTGTATTTTGAAGTCTTGCAGTGGTACTGCAAGACTTCAAAATACAGTACAGTTTAAAAAACTGCAGACTTCCCGGGAAGTCTGCAGTTTGCGATCATATTCTAGATGGCCCCAACCATTACATCAGATTTGATAGACCACAAATCCTCGCGAAAGAACATCGATTCCTACCAAGGATGATACGTGAGGCTATTGAAATTAAAAAACATCCTAATTTCAATAGAGAAGGAGGCTGGGTACTACCACCTGCTTGGGATCCTATAATTAATAAAATTAAAACTAAACCCCAGCATACCACTGCAAGACTTCAAAATACAGTTAGTTCATTCTGCGTAGATCGGACCAAAGACAATAATTAAAAAGTTGAAGGTACTCCAGGTTAACTTTGACATCGGGACGTCAGTCACCTCAGTCCCCCGTGACCATGGGCACGGTAATTTTATCTATACAATATTCCAACTTCATACAAACGGACGAAGCGAGAGCTATACCTACGCGCCTCGATCTCGGCATGCGCTCGGCATGCAGACAGTCGAGACTGTGCCGCAGTGATGATTTTGCGAAATATATAAAAAAATGGAGGAAATAAATAATAGAATAGAAATAAAGAAATAATAAATCCGAACTTCATTTAAAACCAAACATATAAATTGTAAAGTAGCTGCAGGTATCTATAACCTATTAAAAAATATTCCTTTTCTCCATGTTGTCCATGTTTTTCCCAAAACAATTTTTAATGAAGCTTTATATTAGAAAGCGGAATTTTTCTATTTAAAAATCTAATAATAAAGCATTTCGTAAGTCTCAGCCGAGGCGCAAATATTTTTCAGTCGCAAATTTATAAGACCGATTTGTTATTAAAACATAAACATGTTTTTTTAATTAAATCTACCAATCAAAAAAACGACACGCATTTTTATTGAACACTTCCTATTCAATTCACAAAGTACCTACTATATTTGTTTATATAAAAAAGTATATTTTTAATCATAAAACTAATTGGAAACACAAAGTAGGCAAATGTAATGCTGGAGGCAGGCAGCCCTATCGCAGGTTTACGTACCGCACGTCTGTAGGCATTTATTTGAAAGATACAGCCGAGTTACAATACTGTATAGATAATATTACCGTGCCATGGGTGCTGGAAAGCACCCGAAACGTCGGGTATTAAAATTAATATAAATAAAACGCGATAAAATCCGTAAAAGTAGTTTTAATCAATACTAATAGTTAATGAAGCTGTTCAACAGTTAGTATTAATTACATTATAATATGGTCCCATAAGTTCTTTCGCAGTACCCGTAGTTCAGTTTGAGGTAAGTTTGAGATGTTATGATAAGGGACTAATAGAACAACTCGGGCTTCATCGTCTTCAGCAATAATTGTTGATTGCAATTATTTTAATGCGTTGAATTACCTCTTGTATATTGGTAAAGGAAAACCTGTGGAAACCCGAATGTCTGAGAAATAGTTTATTTCAAGGACACGCGAAGCCAACGCGCAGTTCGGCGGACTAATTAGTTTTTTACATCTAAGCCATTGCTTAACCACAATCCCACCAGCTAAGTGGTAATGAAACCTCTTCACTCTTGCCTTGAAGACGCCCAGATTGTATTGGGACAAATAGACAAGCAAATTTTTACTTTACGCATTACAAAAGACGAAGGATACCGTTTGGTTCTAGTGCGTGGAATATCGAGAACAAAGACCCGCCGACTGCCTGGTTGTTGCATAACCCTCTCAGAACGAGTGAATCGAGGAATATTGCGGTGAAACTTCGAGTTTTAGTTTCACCACCATGTGAAGTATTCAGTCCGAGATGGAGAAGTTTTGGAAGCTGTGTATCCAGGGCTGACGGTGTCCTGATGTCGCATCTTCAGGACTGAGGAGCGCTGAGCGCAGCTCAGACAACATGTTGCCTGCACAGAAATAAAACTTCTTAATGTAATAAATGCCGTAATTAATAATATATTGTGCAATAATTGTATATTTTCAAAATATAAATACATTATAATAAAGACAATATAAGCGACAGTAGCCTAATGGCAGGGCGTGGACCGCGAACTCAAAAAGGACGTGGGTTCAAATCCGCCAATCGACTACTGGCGTGAACCACTCGTAACACAAGCATTTTAAGCTTACCACGAGTGGTTAAGGGGAATATTAGTAATGTTTATAACATTGTTAATATTCTTTCTTTAAAAAAAAAGACATTAATTAATCTCAATAATTTACTACAACTATAGTACAATAGTTACCGTTACAGCCTATTAAAGTCCACTGTTGAACCTAGGCCTCCTCCATAGATTGCCTCATAGGGAGGCAATTTGCCATAGTTCCCACGCTGGGCAAGGGGGGTTAGCAACCGCAGTTTTTTTTTATTTTTAGTCGTTATTAGGAAGATGCTGCTGCCCATCTGATTTGCCTCCATCTGTCGACTCTTATGACACCCAAGAGATGAGGGGCAGTGGATATTCTTACACCGCCACTATACGGCATACGAAGCACAGCAGCATTAAACTGCCATTTCAGAATAGTATTCTATGAGAGTGTGGTCCTTCACCGATCCAGCCATTATAGCTGGCAACTATACATAAAATGCATAACTATCTCTTTATTTTGCGGTAAGTATGTATTATATTAAATGGATTAAACATATATTTTAAAATATGTTTTATATATTTTAATATGTGGTAGAGCCATGCTGCAGTTATATTAGTAGTATAGTTGAAGCACGATTGAGTCGGCTCTACCTGGGAAGGACCACGCTCTCACAGAATACTAGCGTAAATTGTAGCTTAATGCTGTGTAGAGAATCAGAGAACCTTTTTACTGGAAACGAGGCATTCCATCTTAGTCCTCAGGCGTGACAACGGATCTGCATTTTGATTCATAATCGAGGATAAATGTAGATGTCTATGGGCCACAGCAACCACTTACCATCAGGTGGACTCTGTGCTCGTTTGTCACACTATCCTATAAAATAATATGATTACTTACTTTTTGAATAAAGTCAAGTCTCGTTTCATGTGGTTTTTCTTTAAACTATTGGTAAGGAGAAAGGATAAATTAGTGTATCGTATACGAATGCACTCACAATATAATTCGTCGTGTGAGGATCCGCGCAGAATTTCGCAAAACTCGATGAGGTGCCCCTCGTTGTATCCCAGCAGTGGGCAAAATTCTAAGTCACAGAGCACGCGCCGGTATAACACTTGCAGCCCGCTGCGGCACACTGACATCAGTTCCGCATTTTCTGATTTTGACAAAAAAATAATAGAATAGAATCATTTTTATTTAATATAGATTACAAAAATACTTATTGAAAGTGTATTATTCTTATTTACATATTCTACTTATTTCACTCTCACAGAATAACAGCTTAATACTGCTGTGCTTCGTATGGTGAATGTAGAGAACCGGAAACCATTTTTACTGGAAACAGGCATTCCATTTAGTTCACAAACAGTCCACTTGATGGTAAGTTAATGCCTTGAACCATAGACATCTACATCTATCCTCGATTAAGAATTAGAATACAGATGATTAGAAGACAGATGAGAACTAAGATGGAATGCCTTGTTTCCAGTAAAAAGGGTCTCCGGTTCTCTACACTCACCATACGAAACACAGCAGCATTAAGCAACTATTTTATTTTACGCTGGTATTCTGTGAGAGCGTGGTCTGCAGCGCTGGTATTCCAGTTAATCCAATTACCTAGCTATATAACGAACTAGAACTTCAGCTGATAACTTACCCGATTCTCTAACTTTGTTGCATTCCAACATAACGGCGCAAATTCTCAGCGCGAACACTATCACTTGCAGGAACGTCAGTCTGCACTCGCAGCTGTGAACAGCACACAAGGCATGGTTTGTGTCATAGGCTTGTTTTTGGTGAGTAATTATTGATGTCGCCGACTAATGACCGATTAATTACGTTATAAAAGAACCATCATCATCGGGAAACTACGACGCATCTTCTCGTCAGGTATACCTCAAAACCTGAAAACTAAGCTGTATAACCAGTGCGTGTTGCCAGTGATGACCTACGGAACCGAGTCGTGGTCCTTCACTGCTGGCCGTATCAGGACGCTCAAAGTCGCTCAGCGAGCTTTGGAGAGGGCTATGCTCGGAGTTTCTCTGCGTGATAAGACTTAGAAATGAGGATATCCGCAGTAGAACCAGAGTGATCGACATAGCCCAACGGATTAGTAAGCTGAAGTGGCAATGGGCCGGCCATATAGCTCGAAGAACCGACAACCGTTGGGGAAAAAAGGTTCTCGAGTGGCAGCCTCGTACCGGTAGGCGAAGTGTAGGGCGACCCCCCATTAAATGGAGTGACGACTTGGTAAAACGTGCAGGAAGTCGATGGATGCAGGTGGCTCAGGACCGTGCTTTGTGGCATACCTTGGGGGAGGCCTATGTTCAGCAGTGGACTTGTGAAGGGCTGTAATGATGATGATGATGATGAAGAATTGTAATCTATATTGAATATGAAAAAAATTTTAAACACTCACGCCTGTCATCCAGAGGGGTCGGCTCGAACAAGGTAAACCAATGCTCTAACAGAATACCCGCGTAAAATGGAAGCTTAATGCTGTTGTTTCGTACGGTGAGTGTAGAGAACCTAAGACTGGAATAGAAGCATTCCTAAATACGCATCTGCACATTCGAACCAAAAACTATGTTTCGTCTTTCGTGATCCGTACTGTAAAGTAGTGGAATAATTTTCCAGCATACGCCTTTTCATCTGTTTAGAGTTTGGATGTTTTAGGGTAAGAGTCGATAGACTTTTGTTGCACTAAGACAGTGAGACTAACCATCTAAGGATTCATTACCACCTACCACCAGATGGTATAAACATAACAAAAACACTCACGCCTGTCACCCAGAGGGGTAGGCAGAGACTATAGACTTCCATTTGGCACGATCCTGACACACCTCTCTCGCCTCCTCCACATCCATATACCTACGCATACATGCTTGTCGCTTAAGGGTACTCTTAGCCCATTTTCAATATATCGCCAATTTGGTCGACAAACTTTCGAGTAGGACGTCCCTTACCGACTCTTACGTTTACTTCTGCAACATATATTCGCTTTATCACTTCTCCTCATTCATTCTTTCTACATGACCACCACTACAAACCACCGCAGTTGTTGGAAACGACGTGGAGTGCAATTCTTGGGTTTACAGCGGTTGAGTCCACGGCGGCCGCATTTCCCATCAAATCAGTCTAAGGTACTAATACAAACATTCTACGCGTTTTGATGTATGTTATATGAATGCCTTTTTGGAATGTGGGGAATACAGCCCCGCGAAAAGGAATATTGAGCGAAAATATGCGGTTGCTGCATAGTTCGCAAATTTGTAAGGGGGCATTCATATAACATACATCAAAACGCGTAGAATGTTTGTATTAGTACTTTAGGCTAAATTTTTTTAATAAAAGATTGTTAACAATGCTATAAACATTACTAATATTCCCCTTAACCACTCGTGGTAAGCTTAAATTGCTTGTGTTACGAGTGGTTCACGCCAGTAGTCGAATGGCGGATTCGAACCCCCGACCTTTTTGAGTTCGCGGTCCGCGCTCTGTCATTAGGCTACTGTCGCTTCTACATAATTGAAATCTAATTGAAAGCTAATTACATGTAGCGAAACTACCAATAATATTGTACAGGCAAATATAGTTTGATCACTAATGATAATGATTGATAATTAAGAAAAAATAAAGGTATTTCAAACGAAGGTAAAAATGTAAAAGTATTTCAGAACAAGTCTGCGTTAGATATTCTAACCAAACCGTCTGCTAAGTGCGCCAACTATAGCAAATTATCCTGAAAGAGGCAATCTGTAGGCCTATGTTTAGCAGTCGACTCTTCTATAGACCGTTATGAATGGATGGATGGATATTAAAATCGAACAGGATTACCTCGGCTTATCTGGATTATCACTGCAACTATAACTCAGGTCAATATAAAACAGAAGAAGATCCCGAGTCAAACTGACTGCTTGCTCTATTAAATTCTGTTTCTCTATACACTTGAGCGCAGCTTCGATTTGTTTTAGAAGCACTTGCAGAAAGCACGAGTCTGAAATGAATTTATTTAGTAACAATTTCTTACTATATGATATTAGTATAAGAAACGATCAACCAATTTCGTCACAAGAGTCGCAAGAGACAACTATGGTAAATACTTGAAGAGATAAAAAAAAGTGGTAAAATTAAAAATTTTGTACAACCGACTTCAATATAAATAAAATGAGAACATCGTCAATGTATTCAAAATCAATTAAATACGCATTATTAAGGTTAACTCAAAAACTGCTGGTCAGATCTTGATCAAATTTATATGGAACCATACGAAAAGCACCAGCTAATAAGAAAAGAATCATAAACATCAGTTCCTCAAGAAAAAAGTTCTGAGGTAACACACAGAAAAAAAACATCGTCGAATTGAATACCTCCTCCTTTTTGAAGTCGGTTAAAAATATAAAAAATAGATTATGGCTTGCGATAGATGGCGGTATAACTCTACGGTTTTTTTATATAGAATCAGGATGACAAACAAGCACACAGCGCACCTGATGGTAAGTGGATGCTGTGGCCCATAGATATTTACATTTATCCATCATTAAGAAATAAAATGCAAATGCGTCGTCCCTTCCGACGACTGTGATAGATTGCCTCGTTTCCAGTAAAAAGTGCCTCCGATTCTCTACACTCACCATACGAAACACAGCAGCATTAAGCTGCTATTTTACGCTGGTATTCTGTGAGAGCGTGGTCCTTCCCTGATCGAGCCGACCTATTCGTACTACAACCATAATATAGCTGCAGCGTGGCTCTAACACGCATAAAAATACGTGTTTAAATAATACTCACCTTTCTTATATAAAATTACACCTTGATCATAATCAAGCTTTAAATTTCCAGTGTTGCCGCCACAACAAAAGTTTCCTAGGGGTTCTGTCGACGTCAGGACCCTTAATATTCGTAATGTTTCACACGAGACGAACAGCATCGGCCTTGAATCTATTATAGTCTTTATTACATTGAGAATAAATGTCCTATTTGCTTGTTGATGTGTCAAAACTCTGCCCAAAAGTTTGGTAACTGATTGCAGTAGTCCGCTGTATAAAATGGCACAGGACTGAAAAATTAAAACAGTTTTATTATTATAATGTAATTATGGCGGTTTCTTGTGTAACATGAAGAAATATATATAATCTAGTATATTTTCCGATTATAAACGGAATCATGTATAATATAAATTAATGTGTAAACTGTATATAAAATTTAAATGATAAGCACTGGCTGGCTGCTGTCGACTGCTGAATCAGGAAAGAAAGCGAATGAGAGGCGCTGCAGACCGTCCCTCGCTGCTTAGCAGGGGACTTTATAGGCTGTAATGGAATAGACGAATACGTCCTAAGAATGAGGTGACCATTACTAGGCTGTTTCTCATCATCATCATTACAGCTCATCACAAGTCCACTGCTGAACATAGGCCTCCCCCAAGGAATGCCACAAAGTATGGTCCTGAGCCACCTGCAGACATCGACTTCCTGCATGCCTTACCAGGTCGTCGCTCCACCTAGTCGAGCCTGCCACTCGAGAATTTTTTTCCCCATCGGTTGTCGGTTCTTCGAGCTATATGGCCGGCCCATTGCCACTTCAGCTTACTAATCCGTTGGGCCATGTCGGTCACTCTAGTTCTACTGCGGATATCCTTATTTCTAAGTTTATCATGCAGAGAAACCCCAAGTATAGCCTTCTCCATAGCTCGTTAAGCGGCCTTGGCCAACAGTGAAGGACCACGTCTCAGATCTATAAGTCATCACTTGTACAATCTCGTTTTCAAGTTTTGAGAAATTCCTGAAGAGAAGATGACTGTGTCATAATTTCCAGAAGGCTGCCCAGCCGAGTTGAATCCGTCGTTTCAATGATATGTCGCTACGAACCTTACCGTAGCGTTTTTTTTAAAGAATATTAACACTGCTATAATAAACATTACTAATATTCCCCTTAACCACTCGTGGTAAGCTTAAATTGCTTGTGTTACGAGAGGTTTACGCCAGTAGTCGAATGGTGGATTCGAACCCACGACCTTTTTGAGTTCGCGGTCCGCGCTCTGCCATTAGGCTACTGTCGCTTAAAAAGCGTTTGGTTGATTAAAATTTATTGTTATGCGAATAATCGGCAAATATATTCAAATAATCGGTAAACATATTCAAATAATCGAAACATAATTTTTTTATGTATTATAAAAATTTAATTAAGCAAATTAAATTTTTATTTTTAAAAATTTCTTAAATTACGTGAGTCGTGAATAAAACAAGTAAATTTTTTTACTTTGTAACGTAAAGTGTAGGCAAAATAACTCATATACAAGGCCGCATTAAAAAAAACCAATACGTAATTTTAATCTCCCGCCATTTTGGGAGCACACTGTGCGTAATTTTGTGATTTTGTTTGTCTTCTTGTTTTGTGACTCGGCTTTAACTTTTTGGACTGTTTCTAGAAGAATCGTTGAAGCATATGCCCATGTCACAAGGGATGATTGGGCAAAAGTGGTAGAAAAACAAAAATTGAAATAATACTAGTTTTTACGGATTTTATCGCGTATATTTAACTATAAATACCCGACGTTTCGAGCGCTTTACAGCACCCATGGTCACGGGGAGGACTGAGATGTTCAACGTCCAAATGTCATAGTTAACAGCGGTTACCATAGATAAAAATTTAACTTTTGTTCCGATCTACACAGTATGAACTTATGGTATCTTGAAGTCTTGCAGTTGTATGCTTGGGTTGGGATTTAATTTTATTTATTATAGGATCCCAAGCAGATGGTAGCACCCAGCCATCTTCTCTATTGAAATTAGGATGTTTTTTGATTTCAATAGCCTCACGAATCATCCTTGGAAGGAATCGGTGTTCTTTAGCGAGGATTTGTGGTCTATCAAATCTGATGTAGTGACGGGGGGGGATCTTTTAGTTTGTCCTATGTAGGAGAGACCACACTCACAATCATGTGGTCTCTCCTACATAGGACAAACTAAAAGATCAATTAAAACCCGCGTTAAAGAACATATAGCTGATGTGAAGAATCGACGCTCCGGGAAGTCTGCAGTCTGTGAACACGTACAGGATCGCCCCCCGTCACTACATCCTATCCATTTACATTCCGGCTCCCACACCTTCTTGTCTATTAGAACTCAATTTAATTCTATCAAGCCTTACACCTTACCTACCTACCTTACATTGTTTTCGGAGACTTTAATAGACATCATATTATGTGTGGTTCCCATAAATCTGACTCTTTTTCTTATCTGCTACTTGATGTTTTTAATGAATTTAATCTTTGTTTCCTAAGTGATGGTTCTCCCACCAGTATGGCCTACCCTTCGCAGAATTCTAGATCTGCAGTAGACTTGTCATTGTGCTCTCCAACTCTGGCTGCTAGTATATCATGGAAAACTCTCCCTTCTTCTTTTGGAAGTAATCACTTTCCCATCCTTTTAAACCTAAGTAATAGATGTGTTCCTACTCGAAATTTATCACCCCTTCTTAAATTCAATCTGTCTGAAGCTGATTGGGATGTATTCTCCTCGGAAACAGAAATTAATATCAATAATCTTCCCCATGTATCTCCAGATAACCTCCAGAGTGCATATTCCCAATTTATAACCCTTCTGAATAATATAGCATACAAAATTTTCCCTTTGAAGAATTCCTCCACAAGTAAAATTTCTTCACCTCCATGGTGGGATGCAGACTGTTCCTCAATTATTAAAAAACGAAAGGCAGCAGAACGGCTATATTCCTCTAATATGACAATGGAAAATTTTCTTAATTATCAGAAAATAACTGCTTAGTCCATAAAACTTCTTTCTGAAAAGAAAAAAAAGGATGGCTTTCGTTTTGTGAGAGCTTAGCTCCTCGATCTCCTTCTTCTCTGATTTGGAAACGTATCAGAGAAGGCAATTCCGTAGCGCTTTGGATGATAGCAATTCCCCTTGTGCAGACCCCTTTCATTGGCTAGAAGATTTCAGTAACCGTCTGGCTACCCCCTGGGTTCCATTGGAGGAAGAGATATCTCCTTCCTCAAAACCATTCCCCCCTCACTCATTTAACTCTTTTAATAATCTTAATGAACCATTTTCACTAGCTGAATTGCAGTTGGTTCTTAGGCACCTTAAGGATTCCTCCCCTGGCGCTGATGGTATCCCCTACTCATTCCTTGTTAATATGGGTACTATGTGTAAGCAGTTCTTTTTAAGCATAATTAACATGGTATTTACAACCGGTTCTATTCCAGATGACTGGAAAACACATATTATTATTCCTATTCTAAAACCTGGTAAAGACCTCTCTTCCGCATTAAGCTATCGCCCTATTGCTATTTCATCAACCCTGTCGAAAGTCATGGAACATCTTGTAAAAAATCACCTTGAGTGGATTCTCAAAAATAGAGGCATTATATCAAAGACCCAATTTGGTTTTAGAAAAGGTTTTAGCACAATGGATAGCCTTAGCATTTTAGTATCTGATATAAGACTAGCATTCTCCAATAACAACTTTCTCGTAGGTATTTTCATCGATGTTTGTGCAGCATATGATAATGTTGTTCTCCCTCTGCTCAGGCAAAAAATGCATCAGCTGAACATTCCCGAGAGAATAACAAATTTCATAGCAAACCTACTTTCACATAGACGCATATTAATTCGCTCTGAAGGAAGATTTCTACCAGCTAGATTTACCTGGAAGGGACTACCACAAGGTTCTGTCTTGAGCCCCTTGCTGTACAGCCTTTACACCCATGATATAGATAGATCTGTAAATTATCTAGGTAATATTTTGCAATATGCAGATGATCTAGCCTTATATGTATCTGATGCCTCTATTACTGAGGCTACCTCTCGTGTATCCCAAGCTGTCAACTTTCTTAATAATTGGCTATTGGAGCATGGTTTATCAATGTCTCCTTTAAAATGCAGTACTGTGGTTTTCTCTAGGCGAAGGTATATACCAGAAGTGTCCATCTACATTGATAATACTCTAATCCCCACTGAAAATCAAGTGAAATTTTTAGGAGTAATCCTGGATAACAAAATGACAGTAATTCCTCACTTATCATATATTGCCTCCAAATGTGAAAAAAAATCTCAATGTTATTCGATCTCTATCAGGTGCTTGGTGGGGTTCTCACCCCTACTCACAAAAGCTTTTATACAATGCTCTAATTAGAAGTCACTTTGATTATGGGTGCTTCTTACTAGAGCCTTGTAGCAAAATGGCCCTTAATAACTTGGACAAAATTCAGTCAAAATGTCTACGTATAATAACTGGTAGCATGAAGTCCACTCCCATTCTCGCTCTTCAAGTTGAATGTGTTGAGCCCCCCTCTATCTCTACGCAGGCAATATCTCTCAGATAAGTTCTTGTTTAAAGTAGCACGTTATTCACTCCATCCTCTCCTTTCCAAACTTCATTCCTTGTATCGGTTGGTCAGGGACTCCCCATATTGGTCCCACAAGGATTTGCCATGCATTATAAAAAGCTATATTAAATTGCTCAACATTCCCTCTCCATAATGATTTCTTATATTTGCGAGAACACTACACATTGAAATAATACTAGTTTTTACGGAATTTATCGCGTATATTTAACTTTTTAATACCCGACGTTTCGAACGCTTTACAGCACTCATGGTCACGGGCGGGACTGAGATGTTCAACGTCCATATGTCATAGTTAATCGCGGTGACCATGAGTGCTGTAAAGCGTTCGAAACGTCGGGTATTAAAAAGTTAAATATACGCGATAAATTCCGTAAAAACTAGTATTATTTCAATTCCCTCTCCAATTTATCAATCCCTTAGTAACTCACTTTACACTATCCCTTACGAGGCTCTAATTTTCAATCCAGACATTATTCTAGATATTGGAATAGATAAAAATACTATTGAAGCAAATAACAAATTAAATAAGCTCCTCCTCCAAAATTGCCATGATTGGTTAGCTGTGTACACTGATGCTTCAAAGTTAAGTAACAATGGATTAGTAGGGTCTGCAGTGTGGATCCCTAAATACAGGATTATTTTAAATTTTAACTCTCCCCCTGACTCATCTGTATTCACAGGTGACG